CATTCCCATCTCACAATTTTATGTAACCAAGCATTGATATGAATGCCAATGCATTCCAATGCATTTCAATGCATTCCAGGATTTCATTCCCCCTCCATGAACCAGGCACCTCCTAAAACAAAAAAAATCTTACATACATTAGTTGATGCTAACCCAGAAAAGAATTTTGCATTAAGAACTAAAATTTTTACATCCATTAAAACAGCGTAAAACTTTCAATGCAACAATTAATGGCAAATTTTAAGGACCTCATCAAGGTCTATACTTCTGAAACAACATTTAGCAATCTCATGTATTGATCTCTTGGCTCTGGAATCAGGAAACTGGACCGTTGGCTTTACCCTTGAGAGTTCTGGGTCGGCTCGACATGGAACCAAGACCCCGACTCCATCAATTGCCCCAGTCAAGGTTTACACATGCAATTATAATTTATAAGTTAAACACATAAATAAAGACATTAAAGGATCTTGATACCAGCTTTCGGAATCGTCCAGGGGAACACCATTCTCCCCCGCATCATAAATTCTAGTATTTCTCACAAAGACTGGTGGCTCACGCAATGATATGTACATCTTTTCAACACTTTTCTTCAATAAATTTCATGGTGAACTTTTCCAACAACGTCGCAAGAAATATGAAATATTTCGGCCGGTGACTAATGACGTCATCACCAACGATGATAAGGTCATTAAAGAGTCATAATGACATCATTATTGGCTGGTTTGATTGCTTGCTGACATTATCGTGACATTCATCTTGAATCAGTTATTATTTATTTCAACTATGTAGTGAACTAGTTTGTAATAATATGTTGTTATTCATCTTGTAAATATCATTATGCAACCGAAAAAGTACGACATTCATCCAGGAGGTATTATTATTCATGAAAAAAATTTGACATAGAAACATGGAAGAATTGTGACGTTCATTTTGGAGATGTGATTGTTCATTGAAAAAATTGACATTCATCTTGTATTTAATTTTATGCATCCATGGCAATTGCGACATTGGTCTTGTACTTTATCATTTTTGCTTCGTGTATAATTGTTTGAAACCATTAATGTGTTCTAGATGTTTGGTAATTTTGAAAAGAGATGTGAAATTTTCTTGGCCAAACTCTAGTTGGGAGTTGGGAGTTGAATGGGCATCGACTAGATGGAGAGGTCGACATTTAGTTAATGTGACTTGTCAGATTATGTTAGCGGCTATAGTTTATATGTTTTGGCAGGAGCGTAATAATCTTAAATTTGGTTAGGTTTGTAGGACACCGGAAATTGTTACTACTTTAGCTATTAATTTAGTTAAAGATAAATTGTGTACTATGAACCTTAAGGATAGTATTAAAGCGAGAGTACTTAGACGAATATGGAGAATAGCTTGGATGTAATCTTGATGTTCACTAACTCTGTACAGTTGATATGTGTGTGCATATCAACTAACCATGTATCACATCGACTGTTTAGTCTTTGTAATTGTTTGTTTTTTATTAATGAAATTGAAATTTAAAAAAAAAAAACCATTAATGTGACATTCATCTTTGTATAATAATAATGCATCCTAAATTATTGTGTCGTTCCTCGTATTTATCATTATGTATTCTGAATTGTTGTGGCATTCATCCAGGAACTACTTTTATTAATTTTGAAAAATATGTCTCAATTGAAATTTTTTTAAACTTATTGGATTATTTTATAAAATTTCAAATTTTCGGCTATGATAACATCAACATCATAGGTTCGGCAGAATAATCACCGGCAATGATATCATTGTCGACGAAATTTACCGGCTGGTTACGGGTCTGGCCAAATTTTGGCAGAAATTTGGTATTATTTTTTTTTGGTCTAAGATAAATTTAAAAATTCAAAGGTTAACTATTACCTAGTAAATTAAATAAAAAAAGAAATATGTTTTCTTTTCTTTCTTTTTCCAAAACCATATGTGTAATTAGTTTGGACTCTTACGAGCTGGATGATCGCGCGCAGCCCGGGTGTAGATTTTGGGATTTTTCCTAATCCAATTGATTTTTCGATTTTTAGGTAAAGGAAGTCGGCAAATCGAGTACTATAAAATACGAAGGAGATAGTAACAGAAATTAAACCATCCGTAGAAGACTTTATCCATAACCAAACACAAAATAAAAAAGCCTTCTAAACCGGGAGAGCGATCGGAGGATGACGACGTTCGTCGATCATTACGTTGTATTAGGTTTCCCAACTGGATACGATGGAGTCCTGCTTTCAGACAGAAAAATCCGTTCAGGTCCTCACAAGACATCCGGCGAGATGTTTAAAGACTTTCTACTTAATATCCCTGATCTCGCTATTCGTCGACAGGCCTTGAAATCTTTCCGGGTTCTCACCGACATGAATTCCCGGCTAGTCTTCAACTACGACTTGTTAAACCGCTACGACATCGACGCCGGATTCCGAGAGCTCTGCGACATCCACAATGACCGGCTCCGAGAGAAGGAAGCAAAATCCATCAATATTAGTGTTGGAAACAAGCAGGCGAGCGCACAATGGAGTTTGGCACCAATTACCATACCAGGAAAGAGCGAAGCAATGGAGTTTGTGGATCATTATGCGGTGTTGGGTCTTCCAACCGGCTATGACGGAATTCGGGTTTCTTTAAAAGAAATCCGTTCCGGCTTCATGATCAAAGCAAGACGGATGCTTAATATTCCCGTTAGTGTTAAGCAGCTCATGAATTCTTGCAGAGTCCTCTCTGATGTGAATACTCGAAACCTCTTCAACCTTGAGATGCTGAGGACGCGATTAAAACCCGACCTTGATCACCTGCAGCGGATCCTCCTTGAGGAAGGGCGAGGAGCAACAACAGCAAATCCTCCTCACGATGAAAGCATAATAAGACCGATGAAGATGAGGCGGTTATCGAGTTGAGAGAAAGATCTAAAGCTTAATCAGCAAAAAAATTTCAAAATTCAATGTTAGACAAGTGTATAATAATATATCCAAGTTTTTCATTCATTATTTTATTCCTATGTAACTGTTTAAGACCTTGGTCTTCTCTAGTTTGTTGATATATCAATCTTTGTTTTTAGCATTGGTCTTTCTTCCTTTCATCACAAATTCCAACCCTAATTCAGTGGAATACTAGTGGGGATCATAAATCTTCCCCAAATCAAATTTTCCTTGCACTTAGTAGTTATCAAAGATACAATTCCGTTGGTAAAAGCACAAAAGCACCGGCTAGTAGGACGTTGAAGAATTGCCTCATTTCCCACTCTAAATTATTCAATTCTTTATCCATCGGCCCAAAAAGAATAATCTATTTTTTTTTTATCTGAAATAGCACTCCATTCGTTCCGGAGAAAAAAATAATTTTTGAATTTGTACTAAAATTAGTACAAATATCAAAATTTAATGTAGATCAATTTTGTAGGACAGAGTGAGTAAACAAAAGTAAACTTTTTTTCTTTTTGGGACCTACATAGTGTATTTATAAATATTTTGGTGGAGTGTCTAATGCTATATATAAAATGATTGTATTATTTTTAGTGTAACTGATGGGGTGTCAAGCCACACAAATAAAATAACCTACTTCAAACTACTGTAATATAGGGAAGTAAGGTCGTCTCCTCAGGGAACGATGGATTGTTTCCTTCAAATTAATGCAAAGGAGATTTTTGGATTGTTTTTCTAAACTAAGATAATGAAATACAAATAACGAAAACTAAATAAAAGAAAAGAAATCAAAGTAACAGACTTCTGACTCAAGGAACGGATAACTCAATTATTTCATTAATCATAGGCTACTAAAACTACTCTTGCAATTTAAGCATTCAACCAAAGATCTATTAGGATACCCGTAATAAATCAATTAATCTCCCTAAATTAACTAACCAAGCCTAGCACTCAATTAATCCTTATCATAATTCGGCTGGGCACGATAGCGTTTCATACCAAACAATGATAGCATAAAAACCAAGGAAATATAGTTGAATCAAAATCTAAACAATTGAGATAGCTACAACTATTCAGACTTTGACTCATTAATTCCACATTTAAACTAACATGCATATTCAATGTCTCACCAATACACATGCTTTGCTAATTGCTACTCAGTACTGCCAGTTCTTGTCTATTACGTAACATTCAACTAGCAGATAGCACGAGAAAATAAATAACAAATCAAGTTGTCAATTTGAATGATATCTACTTTCATAACTCAATATAAGAATCAACAAATACTTAAATCATAGGAAGAACAATAAATTAAGAACAAAACCTCATAATGGAATAATTGAATAAATCCTTTGAATCAGAAAGAAAATCCTTAGCCACTCATGGATGGAAACATGGCGGCTTTATTCTCTATGAAAAATAATGAAAGTTCGGAAAAAAACAAAAAGGTGGGAGGTGCTAGCTTTTTTTTCCTACGCGTGGCTGCTCCTTACAAAACCATGGCCAAAAACGTAACCCATGACTGCCTCTTTAAGAAATTAGGTCAGCCGCATAAAACAAGAAGAATTAGTCCACGATTTGCATCTTTGGTCCCTCAAGTTTACAGTATTTTTATTTTTGTTTCAAAACTTCTTTAATTTTGCATTTAAGTCCCTGGATGTCCAAATTAACCCAAATCAGCTCCAATCTCTTATTTCCAGCTCCTAACATGAAATAATAACAAAACCAATGAATTAAATCCATCCGAGTCCATAAACTAATAAAATATCAACAATTAAAACACAATTTATGGACTCTATCAGTAACAGATAGAACAATCATATTAATTAAAACAGGGTAGTAGAATTTCTGAGCTAGTAGTGGAAAAGGCAAATTATCTGGTACACCCGGGAATACGGTGTCCCCCCATGCGCGTGTACGTCACTCTCTTACAATAGCGTTAGTGAGCCATTATAATTCAGCTTTCTTTTTCTTTTTTTCTTTTTTTTTAAACGCGGGGATATATAAATAACCGAATTCATTCAAATTTATAAAACTTTGTGATAGAGTATTATTGATCGAGGTGTTGAGGCGGCAATGGGAGTCGGCGATCGTGGCGTTGAGGTGGACACGGCCGGCGGCGATCGAGTCGTTGAGACGGCGACGGCGGAGATGGCGACGGCGTTCAGCGATCGAGGAAAGGCTCCAATTCCACCAGAGTGGCGAAACGGTGATTGGATCGACAATATGCTTAGTTCAGATCGAGTGATGAGTTATGTCGTTGATGATTCCGTCTTGATGAATGCGGAATGTAATGGTAGAAAATCCATCAAACAACCTTACTGTGCCAGTAAATCAACGCAAGGTCACAGTTCTGTTGTAGATCAGCTGGAATCAGGTAATCAATCAAGTTTTTTCCACAGTTCTATTTTTTTTAATATGAACTGGATAAGCAGTTATGCTATGTTGGATATCCAAAATGTTTTTACTGGATATCCACGTTGTTGTGCTGGATATCCAGCTTATGTGTACTGATTATCCAACTGATACACATGCGTATCCAAATTTTATTTGCTGGATATCCAACATTTTTGAGTTGTTTATATTGAATTGGTGTTTTTTCACAGTTCGGAGTGTACTGTTTGTGAGAGAATAATCAATCTAGTTTTTCACAGTTCTGTTTTTGTTAATGTTGTATGAAGTGGATAAGCAGTTATGCTGTGTTGGATATCCAAAATATTTGTACTGGATATCCACTTTGTTTGTGCTGGATGTCCAGCTTATGTATACTGGTTATCCAACTGATTTACATACGTATCCAAACATGCGTACAAGCTTAGTTTCATGGAGAGTCCATCTGGGATAAAGGTTTGTTTGACACTATTGTTGAATGTATGAATCTGCATATATCAAGTTCTTGCTCTCTACATTTATGGTATTAGGATAGTTGTCTGTTGATATCCAACTGATTTTTTGTTTTTCTGTTTGTCCCATTTTTTTGTAAAAGAGCATATCAATCAGTTGGGGGATGATGTGATGCTGGATGATGCTTTGTGCATGGAAGTTACATCTGCTCTGAAGGGTGGGTTTTCTAACTTGCTTATATGGTTTAAATTTTTTTTCTGATTTGTTTATCCAGTGTTAATACTGGTTATCCGACTACATGGTAATGGTTATCCAACCATCTCTTTTTGTTTTTTCTCAGAATATGGAGAAGATAATAGCGGCAATGAATTGGGAGTTGATAATGTGATGTTGGAGGAGGATGCCTTGCACAAGGAAATTTCATCTGTGACGAAGAATAATGATTTGGCTGTTTTTACTTTAGTTGGTAAGACGGCAAGAAGTGAGAAAGAAGCTTATGATTTGTATAATGATCATGCCCGATTGATTGGTTTTAGTGTGAGAGTGGGAAAACAGAAGTTTAGAGGTAAGACTGATAAAGTTAGGATGAAGAAGTTCTGTTGTAACCACGAAGGATACAAGAGATCCAGTGGAAATGGTGATGTATGCCATGAGAGGGTTAATTTTCGGTTTGGGTGCCCAGCTTATATCCAGTTTACTGTTGACAAAGATGGCTTGTGGACCTGTACAAAGCATCTGGTTGATCACAATCATGATCTTGTGCCGAATGAAATGATTGGACTTCTTCGATCTCAACGTGAAGTAGATGAAAATGATATGAAGATAATCAGAGACATGACAAGGAGTGGCATCCCTTTGGTTGATGCATTTAAGTTTGTGGCAAAATTACATGGGGGAAGCCCAAACATGAAATATACTTTGAGAGATGCCTACAATTATGAGCGTCCTGCTGTTGGATTTGAAGGTGGAGATTGTAATCAGCTCATGAAGATTTTTTGGGACAGGAAGGAAACTGAAGAAGATTTCTTCTTTGATTTTGAGTGTGATGAGCAGGGTAGGCTGTGTATTTTCTTCTGGAGGGATGGCAGAATGCGAAAGGATTATAATTTGTTTGGTGACTTGCTGGTGTTTGATACAACGTATCGAACAAACAGATATGGGATGATCTGTGCTCCATTTGTGGGTATGGATAATCATAACAAGAATGTCATGTTTGGTTGTGGTTTTGTGTTAAACGAGAAAGAACCCTCTTTTGATTGGTTGTTCAAGCAGTTTTTGAAATCAATGGGAGATAAACAGCCACAAACCATAATGACAGATCAAGTACCTTCTATTGCTGCAAGTATTTGGACATGTTTTCCAAGTTCTCGGCATCGTCTCTGTGTATGGCACTTATGTGAAAATTCAAGAAAGCGAATTGGTCATTTAAGGAACAAGCTAGATTTTGTTAAGAACTTTAATTATCTGATGAAATACACTTCAACAGAAATCGAGTTCGAGGTATTATGGAAGAGGTCAGTTTGACAATATTTTTATTATTATTTTGATCATTTCCATGATTAAGTGTGTCTCTTATTTTTTTTGTTGTGTGGGTATGTGTTTGTTAGTGGTCATGCATGATCTTCCTGATGATTACTTATAGGTAGGTACGTTGTGTGGTAGGTACATTATAGAAGCACAACTTAAAAAAAGCATGGATAACTAGTTTACAGATTGTGGATAACCAGCCATAATGTTCGGATGACTAGTTTACAGATTCTGGATAACCAGCAACTATGGTTAGATAAATAGTTTTTAGCCATTCTGGATAACCACCCCTTTTGGTTGGATAACTAGTTTCCACATTGTGGATAACCAGCAATTATCTCTGGATAACCACCCGTTATGGCTGGATAACTAGTAGAAAGGCTTTCTTGGCTGGATAACTATATGGACAATCTAACTATTTTTCTTTTTATGCATGTGTTTTATTTTGTTGTGCACAGATTATTGGATGAGTATGATTGTCATGATGACAAATGGCTCAGTGGTATTTATGATGTGAGGTATATGTGGTGCCCTGCATTTAGCAAAGATTTTTTTTCTGGTGGTACCTTGTCTTCACAGAGGAGTGAGTCAACAAATAATGCAATTTGTCGTAAGATGAAGGCCACATCATCGCTTTGTGATTTCCATGGAATTTTCTCTGATGTTGTACACTGTTGGGGGGTAGCTGTGAGGGGTGAAGATCTACGTTGTAGCTAGGGAAACATCGATTCATATCTTCCCGGTGACCCTTTCCTGGAGAGCATCTGCAGAGTGTACACAGTTGAAGCATTCCGGGAGGTTCAGCAGTTGCACAAAGATGGGATGTTGTGCAGGCAGGAGAAGTTAGAGGTCTCAAATGATGGCAATACTGTGACGTACCATGTTTGGCGGTTTGGGATAGAGCACTTTAAGCATGTGGTTGTACATGAAACTAGGTTACAGAGATTCTCATGCACATGCAGGTACTACTCTGAGGCGGGCATGCTTTGTTGCCACATTCTTCGGATCTGTCATGTAACCTCTGTTGATGAGTTTCCTAAAGATTATATATGTATGAGATGGACAAAAGGTTATGGTGCCAGGTCAAGTATAGCTAATGAGGGAGATGGAAAAGCTGCTGGCCCATTGCTGTGGAAGGCACTAATTATGAGACGATTTTCAGATTTGGTGTATGCAAGTGAATATAACAAAGATGCAAAGAAATGTTGTGAGGAGGCTGTTGACAGGCTTAAAGAAGAACTCGGCAATTTCATTGGTTCAAATAATAATGATGAGTCTGTAGACAATGATGGTGTTATAAAGAATCCGGCTGTAAAGAGGAAGAAGTTTGGTCCCAGGAACGAACGTCCTAAAAGCATTCTTGAGAAGGCATGTAACAAAGTCAGAGGCAGGAAAACAAATGCAAAAATTGCTGCAGACCGAACAAGAGCTTCAGTTGCATCAAACCTGCATTATCAAAGCATGCCATTTCCTTATCCAAAGGGAGCTGCTCAACATTTTACAGGATCAGGAAGTTTTGCTGCTGTGAATGCTTCTCATCAAAGCGTGCCATCTTTGAACGTAAATTCCAGTGGAATCTCATTTGCTAATCCAAGCATAGCTGCCCAGCATTTTTCATGGGCAGGGGCTTCCACTTCTATGAATGCTTCTGATCAAAGTATGCCGTTCATCAACCAAAATTCCGGTGGATTCTCATTTCCAATTCCCAAGGGAGGTAGCCAGGAGTTTCAAGGCGAAAGCACTTCCTCTGCTGTGAATCCTTCTCATCAAAACATGACATTCATGAATGAAAACTTTGGTGGTTTCTCATTTCCTAACCGAAGGGAAGCTGCCAGGGAGGCTGGAGCGCAGCGTTTCTTCAACAAGATGTTTTATTAGTATTTTAACTTGATGTTGAAATGAACAGTATTGATGGCGTAAACATTTTTATTTAAAAAGTATTATTTATTTTAAATTGCAGTATTATACAACCAGTTTTAACTGGTTATCCATTTTGTTTGTACTGGTTATCCTAGTGGTTATTTTAAATTGGTTATCCGTTGTGTTCATGGTGATTATCCAACCAGTTTGAACTGGTTATCCAAGTTGTCTGTACTGGATATCCATTTTGTTTGTAGTGGATATCCATTTTGTTTGTAGTGGATATCCATTTCGTTTTTACTGGATATCTAACTCGCTTGTACCGGATATGCAACTTTAAATGCATATAGATATTACAAAAAAACACATGAACACGTTGAAGACAGATAACAAGTATAATCTCATGGATAATCAGGTTAAAGACTGTAGTTGCCTTTTTTTTTTTACTGGATAATCACAATAAAACATTCGGATAATCAGGTTTAACAAGATGGATAACTGGTACAATGATCATGGATAACCATTACAAACGGTTGGATATTGCTGCACATTGGCTAGATAACCAGTACAAAGTCCTGGATAAGCAAGATAACATCATAGGATAAGCAGTTTAATAAACAAGTAGAAAAACCAAGAAATTGGGACACTCAGTTTTTGTTTTCTGGGAATTTACAGAAATATTTGGAGAACCAAAACACATTGGATAACCAGCATAGATAATCTGGATAATTAGTACAAAGTCTTGGGATAACCAGTAATATCATTAGATAACCAGTACAAAGTCCTAAAAGTGTGTTAATGTTTCCCAGAAGTAACATGCTCTAATGATGAAACTGGTTTCTAGATCCGACGATATACTTGAGTGTGTGATTTTCCTGGTAGGAACACTATACAACAACAAATGACAATTATTGTATCCTTTTACAATGAACTGTCCTGCTGGAGATGATTTGTGGCTTAAGAACACTGGATAAAGCCAATCATGACGGAAATGTAATCCGTGTGGAACGTGTGTGTTCACATTTGGGAATTCATGGGTCTCAAATATGCAATCCCATGTGGAAGTATCTGGATCCCATGCCCACATCTCACAGTGATGATTCTGAGTAATCTCGTACTCATCTATTACACACATAGTCCCCTGGAAGTCCAATATTTTCACTTGGAGATTCATATGAGAAGGATAAGGGGGGTTAAAGAAGGTTGGAGATGGAGGGCAGTTTATGGGTTGGAATTGTTGAGTGTGGTAGTCAAACACAACCAACAACTCTTGAGGTGTTGCTATTTCAGAGGATAGTTTGTCTACACGCCAGTACACGAATCTATCAAACCAGATTCCATCAGATACAAGGCGAGGACATACATTGCAAAGTGTTTTCCATTCCCCTCTATGAATACTTGAACAACTTTGAAAAGAAAAAATGCAGCCTTGCATGTTTTTTCCATCGGCAATTAGGGCCATGAAAATGTAAGTTTTTGAGGATGACACGTACCCAAATGCTGTTTCACAATTGCTGAGAGGGACATCATATGGCCATTCAACTGTTGCAAGTTGTGTTGTCTTTGGGTTCAAGAATTTGATTTGAGAGCTGGTTTGCAGACAGATCAAATCTGTGGTGATAGGCATGATTTTATGGATGCCGTCGTCACACATCGACATCTCTTCTTGAAATCGTATGTGGTTGCATGGGTTATCCATTTGCACTTTTATGTTGGTGGCGATTAGTTTGTCTTGCAACAGGTGATCTTCTTGGCTTGTTTGAGTGAAAACAAGGATGTTGTTTTCACTTGCAGGGTAGCTCATCTCACGTTTTTGAAGAACAAATTTCTGTCTTTTCGTCATTTCCTCCCAAGCTTTGCTGACACGACGGAACTGTCCAATCTTTTCCAATGACAGATTAATGAACATATTGTCAAGCATATCGTGATGGATATATTCATGATAGATGGGGGACATTTGTTTGGTGTTGGAATTTGAGGAAATTTTTTCGTTTTTCATTTTTTTCTGGCTGTTGGATGTTTTGGATGCTCAAATCAGGCGCTCTGGTGTATGTGCAGGTGAAGGAGTTTTAGCCCCAGGTGCAGATCAAGAAACTCATTTAATGACAGTTATGTAAAAACGTGTGGCTCTGTAACTACCCATTAGATCATGGTGGATGTACTGTGCATGAACACGAGCATTTTCAGTTTTCTTTTTTTTATTTATACTGCCTCAATCTTTTAAATTCTATTTTAATTACAGAACATGTGGTTTTCAGTTATACACAGTAACATGTTCCACACTATGGATAACCAGTATGGACATAATGGATAACCAGTGTTGATTATCCTTAAATGAGTTACATAACTGGCTGGATAACCAGTACAAAATTTGTGGATAACTAATACAAAAGTTCTGGATAATTAATTCAGAGCATTGGATAATGAGCATAGAATAAAAAGAAAGTGAATTTTACTGTGGATAACCACTATGGATAACCAGCATTTTTTCATAAAGAATAAAAACAAAGTGAATTTTATACCCATAAAAAGGGCGAGAGCAGGTGAATGGTTGAAGGAATGGTACATTATCCAACACACTCAATTATGATTGAATGACGTTTTCGGGCGAAGGATTCTAAGGGATAATTATTATGATTGCCCGGCCGCCGTTTGGAAAATGTGCACACTAATGGGGCAGCTTTTCCAGAATTTGGGCGGGATTATGAAGCGGGTTGCGTTCCCGGGTTGGGTTTTGCCCGCTAGTTAAGTCAGACAGCCTGGCCCTCATTGATTTTTTGTTCTCCATCATTTGGTAAACTTCACCTCATTCATTTTTTTAAACACTGTTTATGGAACCGGCGCAGCCGCGGGACCGGCGCAGCCGGGGCGTTTAGTTTATCACGGGGGGATTTATACAATTAATTTGGGTCCCCTCTTAACGCAATAACACACTCTCCTTACACACACACGAAAAAAGGATTACCTTAGCTACATTGGCGTGTTCAGCGGGGCGGCGCAGCCGGGGCAAGTTGGTGACCTGCGATTCCGGTAGCCGCGGGAGTCGTTTAGTTTATCATGGGGGGCTTCGAATTTGCTGTTTGGATTGTAGTATTGAGGTTTTGGATAACAAGTATAATCTGTTGGATAATCAGGTTAGAGAATGTACTTGAATTTTTTTTGACTGGATGATCAGTATAAAACTTTTGTTACATATGGATAAGCAGTATTGATTTTTTGGATAAGAATTATAATCTCATGTATAATCAGATTAAAGACTTTACTTGCATTTTTTTTGACTGGATAATCACTATAAAACATTCGGATAATCAGGTTTAACAAGATGGATAACTGGTACAATGATCATGGATAACCACTACAAACGGTTGGATATTGATGCACATTGGCTGGATAACCAGTACAAAAGTCCTGGATAATGAATTCAAAGCATTGGATAATTAGTAGAAAGATCCTGGATAACCATTACAAAATGATCTGGACTACAACAGTCAATCAATTATATAAGACAAGATAATGACAGTTCATTTAACCCATCCCTGAATTTTTTTGTCATTGTAGTAAGATTTGCTGCTCAAATCAACATGATCTGGATTTTCTTTTGGTTCTTCTTCAACAGTATTTGTGTAGAACTGGTGCATTGCTTTGAGGATTTTGTCCTTATTTTTGTTGGATGGGTGCATAAGGATTTTTAACATGTATCTCCACCGGTACTCTTTGATGTTTCCTGTGTGCAAATCCGAAGTAGTACCGTCCTCGTAGTCACCACCATCATACTTCTCCATGTGGTGCATTGTGAATATTCCACAATCTTCCGCATTCGGCTTTTTGTCGTTGTGCGATGGTAGCGTAACCTCTGTGAAGGTGAACTGAGCATTGACCAGTTCTATGTTTGGAAACACACATTGAATGTACATTTTAAAGAACTGAAACTGCAATGCCATAAAATCCAAGGATCAGCAAAATGCAATGGATAATTCTTAAAGTATGACAATCATTTTGTATCTTTTTTTTCACTCACAAGTAGATCTTTTGTTGGCTTGTAGTAGTCCAGATCTTTTGCATGAAGATTGTTGAATGCAAGGACTTTCTTTTCTTGAACCAGCAACACATACAAGAAGTAATGTTCTCGGTAGTGTACTGGGAAGTAGACCTGATTTTTCACATTGAAAGGGGAAATCATAAGAAAATTTTTTAACAGCCAGTTATAGAAAGAGTGAAGGAGGTGAAAGATGTTGCTTACGGCTTTTGCCACTATCAGGGATCCTACACTGAGTCCTTGTTCTTCTAGTTCAAGAGCCAACCTCTCATAGAACGTGAACTCGATTTCCTCCTTGTTACTATCCTGTTCATAGTAGCGACTGATTGTATCCTGCGTTATTGTTTAAGATGGTTGGAAAATGATACAATAATCAGTACAATGGCTGGATAACTAGTTTACAGAATGTGGATAACCAGCAATTATGGCTGGATAACTAGTTTACAGAATGTGGATAACCAGCCGTTATGGCTGGATAACTAGTGGAAAGCCTTTGGATAAACAACTTACAGACACGTGACAAATACTTTACCAGGGCGGGATAAAGAATAACGGTTTAGTTGACTTACAAATGCGGAAACACCAAAGAATATCCGACTTAGGGAGTCACTTTTAGCTTCTTCTTTGTTTAGGATGACAGCCCAAGCATCTATGATGCTGTTTTCTATCCATGTGCCTTCTCTCATGGAATAGAATGCTGTCCTGTCTGCCCAAACAATTTTTCCAAATTCAAACAAGAAATTCCTGCATAGAAAAAGTAGTCAAATAGACAAATATTCGGGTAAGGATGGTGGCTTTTCGCTGATTTAACAACTTCTTCTTGTCTCTGCAAGAGAGCGAAGTCTATCAACAGGGCTTCTTCTTCGGTCATTTTCTTGTTCTCCTCTGTCAACTGTATGAATTTTTTCTTGTTTTTCTTCTGCAACATGAACGGCGACCTGAACCGTTCGGGCAACCGGTGGATTCTTGGTAGATTTCTCCTCCTAGGTTTTTGATTGAGGATCCTAGGACAAAATAAAAGAGAGTTAGTATGTAAATTCATCTTTCTATTTTGTTGTGAGCATTCACAGTGGATCAAACTTACTTTTCCACTGTCTTTGTTAACCCTTCATCAAGTACTTCAGCTTTCTTTGAGATTGCAGGCGGTGGCGTGGTAAACTCATTTTTGTCCAAAGATGAGTAGACGACCGTGGTAGAAGCAGCATTCCAATCGGGTGGAATTATGCTTAAAGGGACTGCTTCAACCACCTCTGGGTTTTTCTCAACTTCTTCTGCAACAGCTGCAATGATCTCTAGTTTTTCTGTATCACTCGACGACTCTGAAGCTGGTGCACTGGCCCTTGTTATAATTTCATCGATGGAAGGAATGGGATTCTTTGTTTCGTCCAGAGCAGATGGTACTGGATATTCTTCTGCTTCTATAGTCTTATTCACATCTTTATCCAGATCAACCCTTACTGTGACATCTTCCTTAGTGTTCTTCTCCTGGGTTGTCTCGTGCTGTCGTCTTCCCGACGGAGAAGATACCTGTGTTAAAGCTTGGGATACTTGCGTCTTTCAATGCTTTCCTTTTCCTCGTACCAGTGCTTCTCGACCTTTTGGTATAGGTGGATGTCACAGTTGAATCCCGCCCAGTGGAATCTTGATGGGATCTCTTCTTTTCTGTCGTGGAGACATTCGTTGCATGTTCTGCAGTACAAAGTTGGAATGTTGGATAATCAGTACGAAGGTACATATATATTAGACACATTGGATAACCAGTTCAAAGGACGTGGATAATCAGTTCAAATAGGATGGATAATCAGCAGGAACACAATGGATAACCATCTAAAGGGGAAAAGGAGGGTTTTACAAGCAGTACAAATTATACAGATTGGATAACCAGTTCAAATGAAGTAGATAATGAGTTCAAATAGGCTGGATAACCAGCAGAACACAATGGATAACCATTTAAAGGGATAAAAAGGGGTTGGATAAGCAGTACAAATTAGTTGGATGACAAGTACAATCACATCAGACAAGTATTTGTTTCATTACCTCTTGGTTGAGTTTGTTTTTCATCAACCCGCACTTCTTTTGAAGTAGGCACGGATTTCCCCACTGGAAGAGAATTCTCATCATTTGTCTGGCTCAATTGATCCAGTCCACGTGCCCTTGTAGTTGAGTTTGTGGTTCATCAACCACCACTTCTTTTGAAGTAGGCACAGTTTTCCCCACTGCAATAGAAGCCTCATCATTTGTCTGGCTCAATTGCTCCAGTCCCTGTGTTTTGTCAATTTCAATGTCTTGAAATTTTGCGAGATTAATTGGAGCTTCTACAGTGTTGTCATCGGTTTGTTGGTGTTGCTTGTTGTTCTTGTTGGTCACTACTTGTCGTTGCAGTTTGTTCTATGATTGTTGCAAATCTGCTTTCGTGGACTTCCATGCCATCTCGCACAATTCACAAATCTGTGCATCCTGGAGGTCTTGCTGGTGTTGCTGCTGCTCTTGTTCCAGTTGCGTTGTACCTGAAGGCGGAGGCATCTTTCTACTCATCGACACCATTGCATCTGATAGGATCTTGATTGTTTGCTTTGCTTGTTCATCTGGTTCGATTCTTAACTCCATTTCCTTCTCACGAATGTCTAAAACAGTTTTGCTCATCGTGATAATCAATTGGTAGAATTTTTCGTAAAGAGCGGCAAGGTCCTGCAAAATTGAATGTAGTTAGTGGAATGTGGAGGTGCTAGGTTGGATACGTAAGTTCGATCTGAAAAAAAATGGTAGAACAGTACATAGACTTGCTGTGTGTTGCAGATTCCCTGTGTATCCTCCTTCTGTGATTCAGCCTCTGGTTGCTCATCTCGAGATGTTGCTGAAGACGGTTTCTTGAGACGTTCAAGTGTCTGGGCATCTGTGAAATTGCTTCCCTGAAGGCTTATTCTGTCGTCCAGCATCCTTTGGTCCCAAGATTTGATCACAGGGAATGACCTCGGATGTGCTCTCTCATACTCACACCTGTCAAGGTAGCACAACTAACAAAAAAAAAAAAAGTTGGTGTCCATCAGAATTTAGACAGATTGGATAACCAGTTCAAATGAAGTGGATAATGAGTTCAAATAGGCAGGATAACCGGCAGGAACACAATGGATAACCATTTAAACGGGAAAAAGAGGGTTGGACAAGCAGTACAAATTGATAAATTGGATAACCAACTAATTAGTACTCGTCGAGATCTATTCAACAAGATCCATTTCGAATATTTTTTTTGAGTTTCAAAATGACTAAATGTTGATGGGCAGAATAAGTTGGATATCCAGTAAGTTGGATAACCAGTATGCACGAGTTGGATAACCAGTATGAACAAAGTGGATAACCAGTTCAAACAATTTGGATAACCATGTAAATCCATTGGATAACCAGCATTAGCGCATTGGATAATCCAATATAAACCAATGATTGGATAACCAATACAAACGAGTTGGATAACCAACTTAGTTTATTATTTTTTAAAAAAATAATAAAAACAAAAATCAGGTTGGATAAATAATACTAATTAGTTGGATAATCTGCCCATCAGAATTTAGACAGATTGGATAACCAGTTCAAATGAAGTGGATAATGAGTTCAAATAGGCTGGATAACTGGCAGGAACACAATGGATAACCATTTAAAGGGGAAAAAGAGGGTTAGACAAGCAGTACAAATTAGTTGGATGACAAGTACAATCACATCAGACAAGTACAAGCAAATTGGATAAACATTGCAAGCAATATGGATAACTAGTAAAATTTGTATGGATATGGTAAGTACCAGGAAAAAAGTGATTGGTCCGGTGAATGGTTTCCCATCGTGGTGACTTTTGCATCCTTTCACAAGTGCATCAATCACATATTGACACCAATTGTATTGTGTCACTTCATTGATGTTCACGAGGGACTTCAGGATGTTCATTGTGATCCTGGAAGTGGTGTTTCCATGTAGGAATGTGCTCACAACAAAGACGAGGAAATCTCGTTTGAAGTCATCACCAAAATCTTTTCGACTAGCAATTAATTGTGCCGCGGTGGATCTCGTTAGCAGGAATTTATTACTGTATCCCATTCTTTTCTTGAACGCATCCACCATCTCAGCGTGGTCCGTTATAGCGGGATCATTCTGTTTGAATTCTTGCACTGGTTTGGGTCCACAAGGAAGATCAAGTACAGCAACAACATCTTCCTGTTTGATATCCAGTACATTGTTCCCATTCAATGGGACTTGTCTGGCACCGGTCTGGAAACTGCTTGCCAGAAAATTACACAAGGCTGTTGGAATATTTTTTATTTTGAGATCCAACAATGCGCCAAATCCCATATTTGGCGATAATCTACCGCATCTGGCTCTTTTGTAAGATCTGTTGGTTTATTGAGTTCAGTGATGAGTTGGAAGAGATGGTTCGGTGTCATCCTTGTCTCAAATTTCTTGACAGAATCTTCAGAACTGATTGGCCGTGGATCTTGACCAATTATCAGTTTGTTGTTCTCAGGTTTCATTCTTTTCTTTTTGGGCTTTTTATCATCGTTGTCATCAGCAACCACAAGTTGCTTTGGATTTCCTGTCGGTCTGCTCTTCTTCCTCTTTGGTTTTCTCCACAAGTTTTGGGTCCTTGGAGTTTGTACAGGGGACTGTTTTTCTTGGGTTGGTGTTTGTTTTTTATATAGGGTCAGTGTTCCTTCAGGGAGCTCCATTATTTTCTCTGGTTCAGGATCCGGTGATCTGTCTGGGTTGCAATTGAGGTCGTGGAATGCGCTGATCCACTCGTGCCTATCTTTTGTCCTAAACTCCTTTAGGGCACTGTTGGCATTGCACAATCAGTAAGAAGTCAGTGGACAAAATAGCAGGATATGGGTGGATAACCAGTATGAAATGGATGGATAACCAGCAAATAATGTATGGACATGTAGCCAGATAAAAGCACATCTAAAAAAAAACAATGGATAACCAGTTTACTCACTTCGGATAACCAAGTTAAAATGGGTGGATAACAAAGTTTGGACAAGCAACACATAAAATCAAATGGTAAAAAAGCATGGATAACCAGTTCACAACTTGTGGATAACCAGTTTACCACTTATGGATAACCAGTATGAAATGGTTGGATAACCAGCAAAGAATGTATGGACGTAGCCACATAAAAGCACATCTAAAAAAAACAATGGATAACCAGTTTACACCATGCGGATAACAAATATTGAATGGATGGATAACCAAAAAACAAAGTTTGGACAAGCACCCCTAAACCCTAAACCCTAAACCAGTAACAAAAAAAAAACACAAAAACATGGATAACCAGTTCTGTTTGTCCATGCCGCATAGAATAAAATGTAAAAAAAGCATAGATAACCAGTTTAAAACTTGTGGATAACCACTTTACAACTTCTGGATAACCACTCTACAACTTATGGATAACCAGAATGAAATAGGTGGATAACAAATGTCAGTATGATATAGATGGATAAACAGAGATTATGGCATGGACAACGATCACATAGCATACGCAGCAAACCATGGATAAATAGTTCAGATCTAGTGGAAACACACAAGATATTGCTGGATAATCAAAAAAAAGAGGATCCCGGAGTAATATACTTACTATTCAAGCATGTATAGATGAAGGAGAGCTTGAGATGTCCGGACGTAGGGTTTCTCGCCGTCGTCTGTGTGTGTGTGTGGGTTTGCCCTAAATTGGAGAGTTTCCGTCGACTGTGTGTCTGTGTGTGTTTATGCGTGAGAATAAAATTGATGAAAATTACTTTATGTGTACATTTAATGTAAAGGTAAAAACAGTTAAGCGCGTGGTACGCGTGTGTTTGGTGGGGGGGTATACGGTACACCCGGGTGCACTGGATACGGTCTTGTGGAAAACATGATTTGATAATTAGAGCAGAATAGGACGGGCAAATAGGGAGGAAGGCTCCATTTTTATGATTGTAACGTCCGCTTTCGATTGAGCATTCATCATGAATCATAATTCACAGTCATAAGTACTGTTTGTAATTACTACAAGAAGCCCAAGCCTTCAGTACAATGCTTAGGAGAAAGCCTCCTCACAAGGATGCAGTTTTGAGTGCAATGAATTGAGTATGTTCCCTTGGTCCCTTTCGACTATTTTTTTAATTTCCGCTATCGTAAGTATTGTATTATGTTTAGTACACACACACATATATATATAGGGTACAATATACATAGAAGTTCACAATAATAACCCTATCTAACCCTAATACATATACACTAAAAGTCAGGATAAAGCCCTACTCTACATTGATAGTTCTAAGTGCTTTAATAGAACTAATAAACATTACGTGCCCTAGCAATTAAGGCAGCCAAAAATGCAACAATAGGAAATTCTTTTTATAAAAAACAATTAAGGAGGTGACTAGTTCATGGGTATTATATGCATGGAATGAAAGTTTAGATTTGAAACCCAATTTGAAGTGGTTGGTTCGAAGGTTAGAAATGCATGGGCCCACTAAAATTGGCTTTCAAACCCATAATCCCATTCCCTATCAACTTGGTGGGTTTGATTTGCAATCTCTTTTTTCACCTTCTTTGCCCACCAATTTCTTCTCTCTCTTCCCTCCCTCCTCTCGAGCCAATCTTCTTCTTCTTTTCTTTTTCTTTTCTTTCACTCTACAGTCTACACAATCATCAACAACCGGTTTTTTCATCATCGCCACCACTGCCTCCGGTCCAAAACAATGTTTTCAATTTAATCCATTGTCAAAAACTCACTGTCTTACCACTTTCAATTTAATCCATTCCTAAATTTGTCTCTATTTTCTTCTTCTCCATCATCAAATTGTCATCTCTTCTTTTTGAATTCCCATAAGGCAGCAAGAGTGTATTTCTCACAAAGACTGGTGGCTCACGCAATGATCTGTACATCTTGATACCAGCTTTCGGAATCGTCCAGGGGAACACCATTCTCCCCCGCATCATAAATTCTAGTATTCCTCACAAAGACTGGTGGCTCACGCAATGATCTGTACATCTTTTCAACACTTTTCTTTAATAAATTTCATGGTGAACTTTTCCAACAACGTCGCAAGAAATATGAAATATTTCGGCCGGTGATTAATGTCGTCATCACCAACGATAATAAGGTCATTAAAGAGTCATAATGACATCATTATTGGCTGGTTTGATTGCTTGCTGACATTATCGTGACATTCATCTTGAATCAGTTATTATTTATTTCAACTATGTAGTGAACTAGTTTGTAATAATATGTTGTTATTCATCTTGTAAATATCATTATGCAACCAAAAAAGTACGACATTCATCCAGGAGGTATTATTATTCATGAAAAAAATTTGACATAGAAACATGGAAGAATTGTGACGTTCATTTTGGAGATGTGATTGTTCATTGAAAAAATTGACATTCATCTTGTATTTAATTTTATGCATCCATGACAATTGCGACATTGATCTTGTACTTTATCATTTTTGCATCCTGTATAATTGTTTGAAACCATTAATGTGTTCTAGATGTTTGGTAATATTGAAAAGAGATGTGAAATTTTCTTGGCCAAACTCTAGTTGGGAGTTGAATGGGCATCGACTAGATGGGGAGGTCGACATTTAGTTAATGTGACTTGTCGGATTATGTTAGCGGCTATAGTTTATATGTTTTGGCAAGAGTGTAATAATCTTAAATTTGGTTAGGTTTGTAGGACACCGGAAATTGTTACTGCTTTAGCTATTAATTTAGTTAAAGATAAATTGTGTACTATGAACCTTAAGGATAGTATTAAAGCGAGAGTACTTAGACGAATATGGAGAATAGCTTGGATGTAATCTTGATTTTCACTAACTCCGTACAGTTGATATGTGTGTGCATATCAACTAACCATGTATCACATCGACTGTTTAGTCTTTGTAATCGTTTGTTTTTTATTAATGAAATTGAAATTTAAAAAAAAAAACCATTAATGTGACATTCATCTTTGTATAATAATAATGCATCCTAAATTATTGTGTCATTCCTCATACTTATCATTATGTATTCTGAATTGTTGTGGCATTCATCCAGGAACTACTTTTATTAATTTTGAAAAATATGACTCAATTGAAATTTTTTTTAAACTTATTGGATTATTTTATAAAATTTCAAATTTTCGGTTATGATAACATCAACATCATAGGTTCGGCAGAATAATCACCGGCAATGATATCATTGTCGACGAAATTTACCGGCTGGTTACGGGTCTGGCCAAATTTTGGCAGAAATTTGGTAGTATTTTTTTTGGTCTAAGATAAATTTAAAAATTCAAAGGTTAACTATTACCTAGTAAATTAAATAAAAAAAGAAATATGTTTTCTTTTCTTTCTTTTTCCAAAACCATATGTGTAATTAGTTTGGACTCTTACGAGCTGGATGATCGCGCACCCCCCGGGTGTAGATTTTGGGATTTTTCCTAATCCAATTGATTTTTCGATTTTTAGGTAAAGGAAGTCGGCAAATCGAGTACTATAAATACGAAGGAGATAGTAACAGAAATTAAACCATCCGCAGAAGACTTTATTCATAACCAAACACAAAATAAAAAAGCCTTCTAAACCGGGAGAGCGATCGGAGGATGACGACGTTCGTCGATCATTACGTTGTATTAGGTTTCCCAACTGGATACGATGGAGTCCTGCTTTCAGACAGAAAAATCCGTTCAGGTCCTCACAAGACATCCGACGAGATGTTTAAAGACTTTCTACTTAATATCCCTGATCTCGCTATTCGTCAACAGGCCTTGAAATCTTTCCGGGTTCTCACCGACATGAATTCCCGGCTAGTCTTCAACTACGACTTGTTAAACCGCTACGACATCGACGCCGGATTCCGAGAGCTCTGCGACATCCACAATGACCGGCTCCGAGAGAAGGAAGCAAAATCCATCAATATTAGTGTTGGAAACAAGCAGGCGAGCGCACAATGGAGTTTGGCACCAATTACCATACCAGGAAAGAGCGAAGCAATGGAGTTTGTGGATCATTATGCGGTGTTGGGTCTTCCAACCGGCTATGACGGAATTCGGGTTTCTTTAAAAGAAATCCGTTCCGGCTTCATGATCAAAGCAAGACGGATGCTTAATATTCCCGTTAGTGTTAAGCAGCTCATGAATTCTTGCAGAGTCCTCTCTGATGTGAATACTCGAAACCTCTTCAACCTTGAGATGCTGAGGACGCGATTAAAACCCGACCTTGATCACCTGCAGCGGATCCTCCTTGAGGAAGGGCGAGGAACAACAACAGCAAATCCTCCTCACGATGAAAGCATAATAAGACCGATGAAGATGAGGCGGTTATCGAGTTGAGAGAAAGATCTAAAGCTTAATCAGCAAAAAAATTTCAGAATTCAATGTTAGACAAGTGTATAATAATATATCCAAGTTTTTCATTCATTATTTTATTCCTATGTAACTGTTTAAGACCTTGGTCTTCTCTAGTTTGTTGATATATCAATCTTTGTTTTTAGCATTGGTCTTTCTTCCTTTCATCACAAATTCCAACCCTAATTCAGTGGAATACTAGTGGGGATCATAAATCTTCCCCAAATCAAATTTTCCTTGCACTTAGTAGTTATCAAAGATACAATTCCGTTGGTAAAAGCACAAAAGCACCGGCTAGTAGGACGTTGAAGAATTGCCTCATTTCCCACTCTAAATTATTCAATTCTTTATCCATCGGCCCAAAAAGAATAGTCTTTTTTTTTTTATCTGAAATAGCACTCCATTCGTTCCGGAAAAAAAAAAAAATTTGAATTTGTACTAAAATTAGTACAAATATCAAAATTTAATGTAGATCAATTTTGTAGGACAGAGTAAGTAAACCAAAGTAAACTTTTTTTCTTTTTGGGACCTACATAGTGTATTTATAAATATTTTGGTGGAGTGTCTAATGCTATATATAAAATGATTGTATTATTAAAACATGATTGTATTATTTTTAGTGTAACAGATAGAACAATCATATTAATTAAAACAGGGTAGTAGAATTTCTGAGCTAGTAGTGGAAAACATGATTTCATAATTAGAGCAGAATAGGACGGGCAAATAGGGAGGAAGGCTCCATTTTTATGATTGTAACGTCCGCTTTCGATTGAGCATTCATCATGAATCATAATTCACAGTCATAAGTACTGTTTGTAATTACTACAAGAAGCCCAAGCCTTCAGTACAATGCTTAGGAGAAAGCCTCCTCACAAGGATGCAGTTTTGAGTGCAATGAATTGAGTATGTTCCCTTGGTCCCTTTCGACTATTTTTTTAATTTCCGCTATCGTAAGTATTGTATTATGTTTAGTACACACACACATATATATATAGGGTACAATATACATAGAAGTTCACAATAATAACCCTATCTAACCCTAATACATATACACTAAAAGTCAGGATAAAGCCCTACTCTACATTGATAGTTCTAAGTGCTTTAATAGAACTAATAAACATTACGTGCCCTAGCAATTAAGGCAGCCAAAAATGCAACAATAGGAAATTCTTTTTATAAAAAACAATTAAGGAGGTGACTAGTTCATGGGTATTATATGCATGGAATGAAAGTTTAGATTTGAAACCCAATTTGAAGTGGTTGGTTCGAAGGTTAGAAATGCATGGGCCCACTAAAATTGGCTTTCAAACCCATAATCCCATTCCCTATCAACTTGGTGGGTTTGATTTGCAATCTCTTTTTTCACCTTCTTTGCCCACCAATTTCTTCTCTCTCTTCCCTCCCTCCTCTCGAGCCAATCTTCTTCTTCTTTTCTTTTTCTTTTCTTTCACTCTACAGTCTACACAATCATCAACAACCGGTTTTTTCATCATCGCCACCACTGCCTCCGGTCCAAAACAATGTTTTCAATTTAATCCATTGTCAAAAACTCACTGTCTTACCACTTTCAATTTAATCCATTCCTAAATTTGTCTCTATTTTCTTCTTCTCCATCATCAAATTGTCATCTCTTCTTTTTGAATTCCCATAAGGCAGCAAGAGTGTATTTCTCACAAAGACTGGTGGCTCACGCAATGATCTGTACATCTTGATACCAGCTTTCGGAATCGTCCAGGGAACACCATTCTCCCCGCATCATAAATTCTAGTATTCCTCACAAAGACTGGTGGCTCACGCAATGATCTGTACATCTTTTCAACACTTTTCTTTAATAAATTTCATGGTGAACTTTTCCAACAACGTCGCAAGAAATATGAAATATTTCGGCCGGTGATTAATGTCGTCATCACCAACGATAATAAGGTCATTAAAGAGTCATAATGACATCATTATTGGCTGGTTTGATTGCTTGCTGACATTATCGTGACATTCATCTTGAATCAGTTATTATTTATTTCAACTATGTAGTGAACTAGTTTGTAATAATATGTTGTTATTCATCTTGTAAATATCATTATGCAACCAAAAAAGTACGACATTCATCCAGGAGGTATTATTATTCATGAAAAAATTTGACATAGAAACATGGAAGAATTGTGACGTTCATTTTGGAGATGTGATTGTTCATTGAAAAAATTGACATTCATCTTGTATTTAATTTTATGCATCCATGACAATTGCGACATTGATCTTGTACTTTATCATTTTTGCATCCTGTATAATTGTTTGAAACCATTAATGTGTTCTAGATGTTTGGTAATATTGAAAAGAGATGTGAAATTTTCTTGGCCAAACTCTAGTTGGGAGTTGAATGGGCATCGACTAGATGGGGAGGTCGACATTTAGTTAATGTGACTTGTCGGATTATGTTAGCGGCTATAGTTTATATGTTTTGGCAAGAGTGTAATAATCTTAAATTTGGTTAGGTTTGTAGGACACCGGAAATTGTTACTGCTTTAGCTATTAATTTAGTTAAAGATAAATTGTGTACTATGAACCTTAAGGATAGTATTAAAGCGAGAGTACTTAGACGAATATGGAGAATAGCTTGGATGTAATCTTGATTTTCACTAACTCCGTACAGTTGATATGTGTGTGCATATCAACTAACCATGTATCACATCGACTGTTTAGTCTTTGTAATCGTTTGTTTTTATTAATGAAATTGAAATTTAAAAAAAAAAACCATTAATGTGACATTCATCTTTGTATAATAATAATGCATCCTAAATTATTGTGTCATTCCTCATACTTATCATTATGTATTCTGAATTGTTGTGGCATTCATCCAGGAACTACTTTTATTAATTTTGAAAAATATGACTCAATTGAAATTTTTTTTTAAACTTATTGGATTATTTTATAAAATTTCAAATTTTCGGTTATGATAACATCAACATCATAGGTTCGGCAGAATAATCACCGGCAATGATATCATTGTCGACGAAATTTACCGGCTGGTTACGGGTCTGGCCAAATTTTGGCAGAAATTTGGTAGTATTTTTTTTGGTCTAAGATAAATTTAAAAATTCAAAGGTTAACTATTACCTAGTAAATTAAATAAAAAAAGAAATATGTTTTCTTTTCTTTCTTTTTCCAAAACCATATGTGTAATTAGTTTGGACTCTTACGAGCTGGATGATCGCGCACCCCCCCCGGGTGTAGATTTTGGGATTTTTCCTAATCCAATTGATTTTTCGATTTTTAGGTAAAGGAAGTCGGCAAATCGAGTACTATAAATACGAAGGAGATAGTAACAGAAATTAAACCATCCGCAGAAGACTTTATTCATAACCAAACACAAAATAAAAAAGCCTTCTAAACCGGGAGAGCGATCGGAGGATGACGACGTTCGTCGATCATTACGTTGTATTAGGTTTCCCAACTGGATACGATGGAGTCCTGCTTTCAGACAGAAAAATCCGTTCAGGTCCTCACAAGACATCCGACGAGATGTTTAAAGACTTTCTACTTAATATCCCTGATCTCGCTATTCGTCAACAGGCCTTGAAATCTTTCCGGGTTCTCACCGACATGAATTCCCGGCTAGTCTTCAACTACGACTTGTTAAACCGCTACGACATCGACGCCGGATTCCGAGAGCTCTGCGACATCCACAATGACCGGCTCCGAGAGAAGGAAGCAAAATCCATCAATATTAGTGTTGGAAACAAGCAGGCGAGCGCACAATGGAGTTTGGCACCAATTACCATACCAGGAAAGAGCGAAGCAATGGAGTTTGTGGATCATTATGCGGTGTTGGGTCTTCCAACCGGCTATGACGGAATTCGGGTTTCTTTAAAAGAAATCCGTTCCGGCTTCATGATCAAAGCAAGACGGATGCTTAATATTCCCGTTAGTGTTAAGCAGCTCATGAATTCTTGCAGAGTCCTCTCTGATGTGAATACTCGAAACCTCTTCAACCTTGAGATGCTGAGGACGCGATTAAAACCCGACCTTGATCACCTGCAGCGGATCCTCCTTGAGGAAGGGCGAGGAACAACAACAGCAAATCCTCCTCACGATGAAAGCATAATAAGACCGATGAAGATGAGGCGGTTATCGAGTTGAGAGAAAGATCTAAAGCTTAATCAGCAAAAAAATTTCAGAATTCAATGTTAGACAAGTGTATAATAATATATCCAAGTTTTTCATTCATTATTTTATTCCTATGTAACTGTTTAAGACCTTGGTCTTCTCTAGTTTGTTGATATATCAATCTTTGTTTTTAGCATTGGTCTTTCTTCCTTTCATCACAAATTCCAACCCTAATTCAGTGGAATACTAGTGGGGATCATAAATCTTCCCCAAATCAAATTTTCCTTGCACTTAGTAGTTATCAAAGATACAATTCCGTTGGTAAAAGCACAAAAGCACCGGCTAGTAGGACGTTGAAGAATTGCCTCATTTCCCACTCTAAATTATTCAATTCTTTATCCATCGGCCCAAAAAGAATAGTCTTTTTTTTTTTATCTGAAATAGCACTCCATTCGTTCCGGAAAAAAAAAAAATTTGAATTTGTACTAAAATTAGTACAAATATCAAAATTTAATGTAGATCAATTTTGTAGGACAGAGTAAGTAAACCAAAGTAAACTTTTTTTCTTTTTGGGACCTACATAGTGTATTTATAAATATTTTGGTGGAGTGTCTAATGCTATATATAAAATGATTGTATTATTTTTAGTGTAACAGATAGGACAATCATATTAATTAAGACAGGGTAGTAGAATTTCTGAGCTAGTAGTGGAAAACATGATTTGATAATTAGAGCAGAATAGGACGGGCAAATAGGGAGGAAGGCTCCATTTTTATGATTGTAACTTCCGCTTTCGATTCAACATTCATCATGAATCATAATTCACAGTCATAAGTACTGTTTGTAATTACTACAAGAAGCCCAAGCCTTCAGTGTAATGCTCAGGAGAAAGCCTCCTCATAAGGATGCAGTTTTGAGTGCAATGAATTGAGTATGTTCCCACCTTGGTCCCTTTTGACTATTTTTTTAATTCCGCTATCGTTTGATAATTGATTTCGTTGATGATTATTTGCAAACTGAATCAATGCAAAGTCTGGCTTCATGCCCACTTCTCTTGCTTTGTTTGCACGAATGCATAATTTCTAGATTCAAATGGAGAGGCACATATTCAGCTTCGATTAATTATCAAATTTTGGTGACAACTGGGAGTACTGTGTCAGGTTTGCGAATTTAGGAGAGACCATTATTCTTGTGTCGATATGGGATCCATATCTTTGCCTTTTCATAACTTCTGTTTTCAAAAAATAGTTGATAAAATTATTGATAAATTGTAACAAATGAAGAATAAAGGGTAGGACATCTTGTTTTATTCTTATTAAGCGAAATTTATTCCTTAAATTACAGCCACTCAACAGTTGAAATTAATTCTGTACTTTCATTTCTGGTTTTCTAAAGCTCATTTGCATCCATTTCTTTTGGCACTTTGACACATTATTATATACTAGTTATGTTTAGAAAAAATATTTCATTTTATTGTATTGTTTTAGTTTAATGGAATGAAGGATGGATTATGTATTTGCATACAGTCTACCTCAGCCGTTTGAAGTCAATTTTGACCATATAAAATGTTAATTACAATCACTAGATTTGTTTCTCTTTTCCTTTCCTCCATTGTTATATATTATTATTATTATTATTATTATTATTATTCTTTATTTTTTATTTGCGAGTGGCTGAGCAAAAGGAAGAAAGAGAGAAGAACAAGAAGAGGGGGTAGAATAAATTTTATACACTTTAAACTAAAGCATGAATCCATGCAAAGCTTAAAAAAATGGGAGCATATTTCTTTTTAGCTTTTGCTTTTTCTTGGGAGTGGTCTTAAAGTTGAAGACGCGAGGGGCTCACTCAAACTCAAAGGCTCAATTCGCCCCAGTTTTTGCTTTCCATGCATACATACCAAAGAAACTTTGTCCCCATTATCCAAAGTTACCCCTAACATGGAAACCACAAAACAAAATTAAAGAATGTTTAAGACAGAATTTTTGGCAAGTCCTAAGTAGATTTTATTCTTAAACAATGCTTAAAAAACGACCCCCTCTTGTTTTGATTCAGAAAAAAGAAAACAATATTGAAAAGTGTTGTGGCTGAATGAAAAGTTTAATCTAAACTTGTTATTTAAATCTCATCTTAGATATAAAACATGTAAAAATCTTTTGAGTCCGATTTTCAATTACTCATTGAGGTGTCTATGACAGAGTAAAAGATATTAATTACTGTAGATGAGTCCGATTTTCAATTACTCATTGAGGTGTCTATAACAGAGTAAAAGATATTAATTACTCTTGTCTACTGTAAACACACAACATATCTGCCAAAAAATTACAAAAGGGAAGGATTTATTTGGGATTGTGCATTAAAAGTGGGGTAGTCAGTAAACACAGCAGCAGTGTGCATCTTTGCTTTGGTTGATCAAATCGAAATGGTCTATTTACCCCATTTGGGAAAGAGAGAGATGCATCTTTATTCTTCTTTGAATAACTTTGCTTTATTTTGCTTTTCTTTGATAAAGGTAAAAGATGATGAATCCACAATATACAGGGGAATTGAATGATATGTAAAAGCTAGCTCAAAGTTTTATATTCAAAGTATCAGAATCCAAAGACCTCCTCCTCCACTACTACTACTTCTACTACTACTCTTCTGTACATCAGTTTTGATTCTGCTGAGAATCCTTACAAACCAATGGTTGCAGCCAAGAATCCTTAAATCCCATAATTCTGTTCTTGATATCTTAAGCTATAATGGCTGTTTTTGATCATTTTAAACTGGCTCTCTTCCCATATCTTCTTCTCCTAATCTTCCTCTGTTCTACTGCTACTTTAAGCTCTGCATCACACAATCTGCTTCTTAGAAGGCAGGCTTCAATCCTTATTTCTCTGAAAGAGAACTTTGTGATTGATCCCTTAAGCCCTTCTGTTTTGGATAGCTGGAATATGTCAAACCACATGTATCTTTGCATGTGGAATGGCATAACATGTGATGAGAACAGATTAGTAGTTTCTTTAGACATTTCCAATTTGAACATCTCTGGCTCTTTCTCCCCTGCACTTACTGAACTTCGCTCTCTTGTGAATATTTCGCTTGCTGGAAACAACTTCAACGGCGATTTCCTGCCGGGAATCGAGAGGCTCGAGATTCTGCGGTTTCTCAACATTTCCAACAATGTTTTTAGTGGAAACTTGAGTTGGGATTTTTCCCACCTACAGGAACTTCAAGTTCTTGATGTGTATAACAACAATTTTTCCGGCCTTCTTCCAGTTGGTGTCACTCAACTGCAGAAGCTGCAGCATTTGAACTTGGGAGGAAATTACTTTGCCGGGCAAATACCATCTAGCTATGGAAGTATGCAGCAGCTCAGTTATCTCTCCTTAGCAGGAAATGGTTTAGAGGGATTCATCCCTCCAGAGCTTGGAAATCTCACTAATCTGCAGTGGCTTTACTTGGGATATTTCAACAAATTTGGTGGCGGTATTCCAGCAGAACTTGGAAAGCTTATCAATTTGTTGCATTTGGATCTTGCAAGTTGTGGATTAGATGGTCTTATTCCAGCTGAATTAGGCAATCTGGAAAGCTTGGATACTCTCTTTTTGCAAACCAATCAGCTGAGTGGTTCAATTCCTCCTGAGTTGGGAAACTTGACTAACTTAAAGTCTCTTGATCTTTCAAATAATGCACTCACCGGAGAGATTCCAGTTGAGCTTTCAGCACTCCAGGAGCTGACCCTTTTGAACATATTCATGAATAAGCTTCATGGTGAAATTCCAAGGTTTGTGGAAGAGCTACCTCACTTGGAAGTGTTGAAACTCTGGAGAAATAACTTCACTGGATCTATTCCTTCAAAGCTTGGACAGAATGGTAACCTCGTGGAACTCGACTTTTCGACTAACAAGCTCACTGGAAAGGTCCCAAGTAGTCTATGTTCTGGACAGAGGCTGACAATCTTGATCTTGTTCAACAATTTTCTGCTTGGTCCTTTACCTGAAGAACTTGGTAACTGTACTAGTCTTTCTAGAGTCAGACTTGGGCAGAATTTCTTGAGTGGCTCTATCCCACAAGGATTTCTTTACTTGCCTGATCTTACTCTAGTGGAATTGCAGAACAATCTCTTAAGTGGACACCTTGAAGATTCAAGCAGCATTGCATCTACTAAACTGGAGGGGCTTAACCTCTCGAATAATCGCTTATCCGGTCCTCTTCCAACATCCATTGGGATGTTTTCTGGCTTGAAGAACCTTCTTTTGAGTGGAAATCACCTTGCAGGCAGCATTCCTTCTGAAGTTGGCAAACTGAGTAGCATCTTGAAGTTAGACTTGAGCAAGAACAACTTTTCTGGTAACATTCCTCCTGAAATTGGTAACTGTTCATCTCTCACTTATTTAGATTTGAGCCAAAATCAAATTTCAGGTCCAATACCTGTCCAGATTGCTCAAATTCATATATTGAACTACTTCAATGTTTCTTGGAACCAATTGAACCAGAACCTTCCCCAAGAAATTGGTTCCATCAAAAGCCTAACATCTGCAGATTTTTCCCACAACAATTTCACTGGTGCGATACCTGAAACTGGACAATATTCCATTTTCAACACCACATCTTTTATTGGGAATCCTGATCTTTGTGGATCCTACTTAAATCCTTGCAACTATTCATCTGCTACTGAGTTCGAACATAACTACCAAAGTGATGGCAAATCAAAGGTCCCAGCCAAGTACAAGCTCATATTCGCATTGGGACTGCTGTTCTGTTCTCTAGTTTTCGCTGCTTTGGCGATCATTAAGACCCAAAATGTACGAAAACATTCGAGGTCATGGAAGCTCACGGCGTTTCAAAAGCTAGAATTCGGAAGTGAGGACATCTTAGAGTGCTTGAAACAAGACAACATCATAGGGAGAGGTGGAGCAGGGACAGTCTACAAAGGTATAATGCCGAATGGCGAGCAAGTAGCAGTGAAAAGGCTGGGAATAAGCAAAGGTTCTCATGATCATGGCCTGTCAGCAGAAATCCAAACTCTCGGGAAGATCAGGCACAGATACATTGTGAGGCTGCTTGCATTTTGTTCAAATAAAGAGACGAATTTGCTCGTGTATGAATACATGCCGAATGGGAGTTTAGGTGAACTTCTTCATGGAAAGAGTGGAGCTTATCTGCAGTGGGATACTAGGCTAAAGATTGCCTTGGAAGCAGCCAAAGGGCTGTGTTATTTGCACCATGATTGCTCCCCTCTGATCATTCATCGAGACGTGAAGTCCAATAACATCTTGCTTAGTTCGGATTTTGAGGCTCATGTAGCAGATTTTGGCTTGGCAAAGTTCTTACAAGATAATGGCACATCAGAATGCATGTCTGCAATTGCAGGCTCTTATGGCTACATTGCTCCAGGTAATTTCTTTTTTTCCTTCGTTTTTTACCATTAAAAGTCATCAGTCTAAATAACTTCAATTCAAAAATGCTATCATTATTGTCATTCTTAAAGATTTCTTCATGTTTACAATATCATCAATATCAGTCTCTGTCGAAAATCTAGTTATGCGGGGAACTGAAAAGCCATATGACCTAATTTAGTATGGAAACAAATCTCTTTCTTCACTTCATAATTCAGGGGTATATTAACACAATAGAGGATAGTCATGTTCTCAACTTTTGGACCGCATTAGTTCGCTAAGGAGTTTATTTGGATTCCAAGAAAAGTCAAGAACACCACTAACTTAAAGGAGAATTCTTATGAAGCTTTTTTCTATCCTGTTCATCTTAGAAGCAGATTGATGGCCAGGGTCAAGGGGACCCTTTTCATTCCCACTTCTTGAGTCTAGAAAGAACAATTCATAATGCAAAAACAGAATCCCAAGAATTATTCTTTGCTTAGGAATCCTAATTGGGATCAAAACTTGCACTTTCTCCAAAACCTATAAAGAGAAAGATGTAAAGATATACAGACAACAACCTTTCCCTTTTAGAATACATGTTGTTCACTTTCTCTTTCACTGATGTTGTTTCTTTCAACAGTCATTCATGCTTTTCAGTGTAAAAGAATAGTGGATCATGCATTATAGGAAAAAAAAACTGGTCCTACCCTTTATTCTTTGCGTCCTAGGCTTTCCCTTTTGCAATTTCAATTGACTCAAACTGATTGATTTGCCACATTTCTGTCTTCTTGCTACACAGAGTATGCTTACACATTGAAAGTCGACGAAAAGAGCGACGTTTACAGCTTTGGTGTTGTCCTGTTGGAATTAATAACGGGGCGAAGGCCGGTTGGTGATTTTGGAGAAGAAGGACTAGATATTGTGCAGTGGGCAAACATGAAGACAAATTGGAGCAAAGAAGGGGTGGTGAAGATACTTGATGAAAGGCTTAAAAATGTTCCGTTGAGTGAAGCAATGCAGGTTTTCTTTGTTGCAATGTTGTGTGTTCAAGAGCATAGCATTGAGAGGCCTACAATGAGAGAAGTAGTCCAAATGCTTGCTCAAGCTAAGCAACCTAACACTTTCAATATCCAATGAGTGAAATTCTTTAGACCTATTCGGATAAATTAATCGTCTTGAGCCAACAACAAACAACTAGCAAACTGAGTTATGATCATTCACAAAAAGAGCTAACACAATATGATGGATGGAGTTAATATGGTCATTTCAAGCATTGGTAGGTGGTCAAATGTGGGAAGTAGTACATGAAGGTATGAAGCAGATGGAAGTCCTGTGCAGGTAGGGAACTGAGACACAGATGAATTATTGAGTCATGATTTATATATAGTGGGATGTTGTTCTTTTGGTGTAGTTTTCTTTGTTTCAAGAGTTTGATTGATTTTCTGCTTCTTTTTCGGTAACCACCATTTTGGAAGCATTTAGCTTGTTTCTAGCTCCTGTCTATAGCATTGTATTAAAGCAGCTGTAGAATATTCTTTGACCTTTTTTAGATGAGAACTGGAGGTCATATTATTTATATATTGACCTTTATATATTTGGCTAGTCTCTTTGATGGAATGATTGTAGATGCACATAGCCTTCTAGTTCCTAAATTATCTGAGCACAATATAATATGACCACCAAAAACTGTGTTCGGAAATTGGGACCAGACATCACTACGATTTTGCATCAGTTGTTACTTCTCTGTCTTGCTAACAGTAAAATGACAGACAGATCTTTAAAACAAAATACTACCTCCGTCTTAAAAAAATAGTTCACATTGAGTTTTCAAATTTATACTAAAAAAAGTACAAAACTCAAAACTCAATATGGACGGAGGGAGTAATCAATCTTCTATCTTAAAAGGTGAGATACAATCTGGAGTTTTTTTTTTTCCGCTTTTTCATGGTTTTAGATTCGTTCCAACAGTTCTAGTACTCGGGCTATTCAATATTCCATTATTTCCCCCTTGTTTTCCCTACTGGAGAACAATTCTGCGAGGCTCAAACAAAGGCAGAAGCATTTGCAAATCAAGGAAAAATGCCGCCTGAACTGAAAATTTGAATGAATACGATGATCCATAAATAACCAGAAAAGTGGTGCAAAATCAAATACAATTTCCTCTAGGAACATCCTAGTAGCCTATGTCACAGTTTAACTTCAGCACTAATAAAAACCAAAGCCTAAACCCGAAATCTGACATTGCACCACTCAAAAGCTTTGGCAGGAACAGAATGTAACCAAAACCAGAGTGCTTGGGTAAAACTCACAGGTACAAGGTTAACATGTCCATCATCAATTCTTCCACATACAAACAGCCAAAAAAAAGATTCAAATGCTTTTAGTAAGTCGGCAATTTACTATTGCTAGTGAGTGAAAAAGTATACAACTAGACATTTTGGATTCTAATTCGCCGTTCACCTCTGTAAAAAAAGTTATATATTACAGGCATCAGGCTGGTATCCAGAAGAATCTGCACAGCTTATATCTTAATCATCGGATTTATCAGGCAGAAAAATGATGTGCTTGAATCATCAAACTGAAGAAAGAAAACATTAGAAGAGAAGGTTTTTAGGTCTTCTTCCCCATAACTTTTACTGAGCTATCTTTAGTCTTTACACAGCTACAACGTAACAAAATTTACCAAACTCCAGCTTACAACAAGGGAAAAAAACAGCACGTACTTCCTCTTCAGGAAAACAGTGGTAGAAGTGGTTTATTGCGAAAATAACAAACGGAAAAGAATAAGCCAAGTATACCCATTCATCCACCTTCCCTGAAACTGCTGCAACATACCAAACTTCCTTAACAAACCTAGTTCATTGAGATTCTTCTCAGCCAACTGTATATGAATGTCCGATGTTTCCCATTGCCAAAGGGCTTTCCTAGCTGTTGTACAGCAAATAAAAAAAAAAACAAAAACAAAAACAACAAAAAAAAAAAAAAACAAAAGACAAAAAATTAGTCATTTTTCTCATCAAAGATATGTGAAAAAATTTGAAAAATATTTAATTATCCCCGTGATCCTTTCTACATGGTTCCACATCTTTTAAAGCTAGTGCAACATTTGCAAATCAAATTATGCATTAGATAGCTAAAACACAGCAAAGAGCATTACAGTTTAATCACCAAAAATATACTTCTCACGAGAAAATGAAATGTAACAAACTCCAAGTTCTTACTGGAGTTCATAATCACTTACTTGAACAACATCTGTTAACGTGGCCATGTTTAAGCTTTCTCCGAGCTATTGATAACTATTTTGAGCCCTTCAATTTCTTCCTCCTCAATTTTTCTGATGGACTCGTTAACAGAACTTCCACATAGCTGAACTTCAATCTTCTCCAACGTTGAGATGCTCCCGATGTCAAAAGGAACCTCCTTCAGCTGTTTACAATTTCGCAACACAAGCTGTTGAAGTCGAGGCAAGTGATCTTCACATGCATTCCAATCGACAACATTAAGGTTGTCTAATTCCAAGTACTTAAGTTGAAGGAACTTCCCTTGCGACATTTTCCACGTTGACCCCTCAACGGCACAAGAAATCAATTTCAGGCCTTCCAGTTTCTGTAAATTCCCAATTGCTGACAAATGATCCGTGCACAGGTGGAACTTTGATAGACTCAACTTCCTTAAATTTGAAGGTAAGTTCAATTCTCTGCCATTAATAACCTTGCCTAGGTATGAAATACTGAGTGACTCCAGCTTGCCTAGTGATGCCCATGATGGAACCAAATGAGAATTCCTGGAAACAGATGTTGGTTCTGAACATATGCATTTCAGCTTTTGAAGATTAGGAAACCTCATCATAATATTGTTGGCTTCCTCCCCCAGTGAAAAGTACATCAAAGAAAGTGTGATCAAGCTATCTAACTGATGAAAAGAATTTAGCAAAGGGAAGATAGCATGAGCAGTTACATGAAGATGCCTCAACTTCTTCATTTTCCAAATGGTATCTGGTAGAAACACCTTAGTCTTCAAACTCTTCAGAAAAAAACTTTCCAAGTTCTCAAGGTCAGACAAAGATGGTGGAATGGACTCCATATCGCCACACACTGCTAAGTACCTCAGATCAGCAAGAAATTGTATTCCACTAGCCCAAGAGTTACCCATATTGATTGATTCCAAATCCAACACTCTGAGGCGTATAAAGTTATTGGGGATGAAGTCAATATGATAGGAGCATCTTGGACTCTCATCAGTGGTGGCAGACAACAGCAGAGTGCGGACAAATGGACCAGATGGCCTTGAAACAACAAATTGTTCTCGATTCACATGAAAGAACAATCGATATTGCTCGTGTGTGATGGAGTTTGACTCACTGAAATGCTCATAGTGAACACCATAATCAAAATTATTTAAAGAACAATAGGGTTCATCTTTATCAGATATCTGATGCGAGAATTTCTCCTCTTTACCCTTCAGCAAGCACAAGTCACGTACTACACCATGAACGCGACATGATTTCACCTTTCCGCTTGATCCTATTCGGGCCACTATAACCAAGCTCCTACCAACTAGGTCCATTAAGTAATCCTCAGCAAGATCCTCTAAGCTTTTTGATCCCAACTTACGCACGAAGCCTTCTGCCACCCACAACAATTTCAGTTTTGAAACAGGAATGTCCTTGTCTTCCTGAAATGCCCCAAAATAAAGAAAACTAGCTCTTAGATGATCGGGTAAATGATCGTAGCTCAGTTCAATTATTTTCTTGCACTGACTTTCTGGATCATTAAGTACCCTTGAACTTACACTTTCCGCTATTTGCCTCCACAAGATTTCATTCTTGTTTGTTCTATCAAGAACACCTCCTATTGCACCAATTGAAAGAGGTAGCCCTTTGCAATTTTTGGCAATTTGTTTTCCAACTTCCAGAAGTTCTTTGGGACAATCTCCTTTCCCAAATATTTTAAACTTCAACAATTCCCAACTTTCCTCTTCAGAGAGTGGATGTAGACAATGGGAATTACTTATTTTTGAAAGCTCCTTTTCGAGGCGACTTGTTATCAAAATTCTGCTACCATTTAAGTCATCCGGAAATGACAACTTCATATCATCCCAGGCCCTAATACTCCACATATCATCTAGGACAATGAGGTATCTATTTTTCTTCAATCTTTTGTACAGCAGAGTAGCCAAATCTGCATCGCTCAGTGAATGGACATCATCAGTGTCAGTGACAACGTGGCTTGAAATATCAAGCAACAAATCTCTCTTCTTGTATGTTTGCGAAACACAACACCACGAGCGAATATCAAAGTGACATTTCACACTTGGACAGCAGAACACATTATTGGCTAAAGTGGTCTTACCGACTCCTGGCATCCCAACTATGGAGACAATATCTCGCTGATGCCTACCTCCAATAAGTCGATCGATTATCAGTTTTTTCTGATTCTTATGGACAACCATAAACTCATCAACTCCTGCAGTAGAAACCATTGAGACTTTAGGCTTCAAACTGTCAGTGACATTGTGGACTCCATCACCATTAGGACTGTTATTCTCATCCAGATTTGCAAGCTGCATTTCAATGTGTCTAATCTCTTCCAAAAGATGACATAGCCACAGAAAATGGTTTGGAACCTTGATTTCACCGAGCATTAAGTCGAAAAGACGTTCTGCCTTATATGCCACATCAACAACCTGGGAATGCAGATAGTGGTATTTCTCTTTGCAAAAAGCATCCTGGGAGTTGTTTACTATTCGCTCCAAAGCCTTGCTAATGGCTTCAATCCGATAAGTTACATAAATTGATGATTTATGCTTAGGGCTTAGCCTCTTCCCTAACTTCTGCAAATGACCCTCAATGAAGAAAAATCCAGGAGTCTTAGGGAGATGAAACTTTGGAATTTGAAAATTCTCTATGACCTTGGCTATCAAATGCTGAGCTTTTTCTGTTAAATCAAGAAGGCAAACCTCCAGATAGTTGCATTGTTCTTCTTCCAAATTGTTAGGCAGATGTGAACTACTGAGAGTTAATACTTCAGTAGCCATCACTTCAACATCTTTCAAGATTAGGTTCTTATCCTCCTTTGGCTTCTTAGCAACTAAATCCATGAGGAAACCAAGTCCGTCGCCAAGAAATGCAACCTTGTGCCTCAAGGGGAACGCCAGAGTTATATCCTCCAACAACTTTGTTATGGTGGTCTTCGCTTTGAATAGCAAGATAAGAACAAAAGACTTGTAAAGCATGTTACCGACCTTGATATATTCCGTGTTGTCCCCCTCAGGACTCGAGGAGGACTGAGAGGGATCTTGAAGTTGCTTAGGAAATGTTACAATGGCATCCCCTATCTGAATTGTTTCCATTGCAAAATCATCTCTTTCATATTTATGATCCCTCAGGTCGACATCAGAAAGGGTGAGTAGCGTGCCTTTATTCATGATGAGAATTTCAACCTTAAGAGACCAAAGTTTCGCAAACAAAATTGTGTCTGGAGGCCTAACATTGCTCTCCTGGTCAGCATCAAGATTTAGATAAATGGTCTCCAGTAATAGATCTTTAAAAGCTCCTAAAAGCCATGGCACGTCCACCGTGTCTTTGTCGTCGTGCATCTCTCGCAATCTGGTAACACACTTGAACAGAGAAGCAAATTCTGAGACAAGATCGGATTCAAGGCTGCAATTATCTAGTACGTGACCTATGAACTCCAGATAAGAGGATTCACCGGGATCACATCCCAGGCATTTGACCATCACATCTAGGAACTGAGAAGCATCAAGATCCATTCTGCTGTTGAGGTCTGAAAGCGAAATGGCCAGACGCTGTTTCATGCTTTCATCCATCGCCAGTGCATCTCCGTACCAACAGAGGCAACACAGACGAGCGACCTGCATAAATATTCCTCCATAATCGGCGCGAAAATCCTCGTCCTGGCAATCATCGTAAGTGAGAATCCAGTTGATAGAATGGAGACGCCGTCTCAAGGTAATCATCTGTTTCCTCAATTGATCATCACCCAACAAGTGGAAATATCTCTCATTGGAGGACATACATAACAGACACCGGTCTAGGCAATGACAAAATAAGCGCCAATACATAGTGCCCCATCCAAACGAAGAGATTGGCTGGAACGATAAGGTGGTTAGAGAGCGTTCACCTTGCTGCCGGTAAGCTTGACGGATATCTAACTTCAAGTCACCACACTTTCGATCCAAAGTGATGAAAACTTCAAGCAGTTTGGAAAGCTTAGATTGAAAAGGCTGCATAGCATTTCTCATCCATCGGACCAGCTGAGTTTTCAAACCACTATATCCGTTAAATCTCTCATAAAAATCGCGTCGAAGATGCTTTTCTAATTTTTCAGCTGCAACTCCAACTCTGATGAAGAAGAACTTGGAGGATCCTGCATCAACACTGTATGGAGATGATCCTGTATCTTCTTCTACGTCGTCAAAGGCCTTTAATAGGAGGCACAGAAAATCCAATTCAGCCATCACGGAATCCATCCGCTCCTCGAAAACCACATCTAAAGACCATATCAGTTTCCAGTAATCTTTTTCATCCCGCATAACCTCTCTACTGCGTTCAGTACCGAAAGCAAAATCAAACCACCCTTGGTACTTCTCCATTCTCCCCCAAAGATCTTCAATTCAACATCACAAAGGAGAACATTAATTATTTACCAACCCCAATAAAAAAAAAAAAAGAGGAAACAAAAGGAAAAAAACGTATACACTCTATCGCAGCTTGTCAAAACATATCTAACTCACTCATTGTTACATCTTGCGCACATGTTTATATCCTGGTCAGATTTTCGTTTTTTTTTTTTTTTTTGGAGCTTAATCCATTCCTTCTCTAATTATGTTGTCTTAATTATAAATTTCAAACTCTATGTGTGATCCACGTGTTTATAGTTTTGAAATGAATTAGTAACGCCTGAAAGTCTGAAATCCGGTGAAACAAATCTGGACTTAAAATTTTATTTTTTTTTCCAAATTATACTAACCAATAATGGAAAACCACACAATTTCGATCAAAATCTTCCCATCTTATTGTACGCCACAAGAAAAGGGACACTAACAAGAATTAATTAGAGCTTACCCTGATTACTATTCAGAATTAATAGCTTCTTAATTAGATTAATTGATTCCTAGGCCAAAATAGTTGTACACCAGAGAGATTTTCATCATTTTAAAGCGCTAATCAACGAATGAAGCTTCAATATGTAAATAATTATTATTGCTATTCAAAGGGATGAAGCTTGAGTATATGTATTTATTTAAAGGCTCGAAGAAAATCCAAGGTAATTGCGTAAAAACAACAGAGATGGAAAGGAAAAAGAAAAAAAGACATACCTTGTCGATGAGAAGCCATCTTTCATAAAACAGAACTTTAAAAATTAGATAAAGCCTTCAAAGAGTCTATATGCACTTGCGCACTCCTTTTTCTCTATGCTTAATTTCTTCATGGAGTAAGACAAGTAGGAGAATCATGAAAGAAAATAAAAAATTTGTGAAAGTTGTTTGATCCAACAGTTAACAAAATTAAAAAAAAAAATGGGTTTCCACGGTTTGAGTTTAGAACAAGCGATTAAATGTTTAAAACAAAATATAAGAGAGGTTTGCGATCGAGGTCTCTGACACTGAACGAAGACACACCCCATTGAATTTCTCTTCAATGATTATATTTGCCATATACGTGGCTTATAACATTTATTAAAATTCAAGTGGAGTTTCAATCCCCCTCCAAAAAAAAGTGGGTTAAAAAAAATTGTCGACAACATTTGTCATTCTCCTTCAATTTGAAATAAAACTAGAGTATCTAATATAAGTAACGTTGACCACAACTGCGTGTTCCTAAAGTAGCGAACCCAGATTACAATTACATCATCCCTCAAGCAAATTCCGGATACCCCCCGGAACTTTGTTGACTTTAATTTGGTTTGGTGGCTTAACCACTTGCGAACTAATAAGGATTCGAGACTCTCTCTCGAAAAATCTAACAAACATTAATTAGTTACTGTTGTTATATGTTCATCTTATCCGAACTTTCTTTAAAAGAAGAAAAAAAAAAGCATGGATCTCAGAAAAGATGGGACGATTAATATATAAGTTTATGATTGTTTTCAAATTAAGTTTTTTTTTTTTTTTTTGGCATTGTGTCACTGTCGGTAACAATAGATACCTCGATCGGTGAGAGAACTAACTAAGGGATTAAAAGTTACTCCGTGCCCATAATGAAATTCGAACCATCGACCTATTATTAAGGTTGGAAGAGTCTTTACCTCTTCACCACAACCACTTTCATTAATTAGTATTCTAAAAAGCCTTCTATGCTTGAAAGCCTTTAACAACAGTAGTATATACATCTGTTTAATTCCGTAGACGTATTTATCTATTTCAGATCGGGATATATTGGATACTAACTTTGGTCTTCTCACTTTTTTTCTAGTGATTTGGCTATGCCTATCCATATTGACTATGTCACAGTGCTATGCCGTTTTATAAGACTATGCCTCCTCCTTTTTTGTTTTTAATATTTCACTCTCTAAAAATAGTTCATACTCACTCTTCCCAAATAATTATTCAATTTAAATTTTCACTTCTAATTTAGTTTATTCTAAAAATGATTACTCAAAAATATAAAATAATTTAGAGATGAAGAGAGTATTAAATTTTTAAATTTATGTTTAAAACGGTACCAATCTTAAAATTTAATGTGATTTTTGTTTTTTAAAGTTGAACAGAGGTAGTACTTGTTGATAGCTAGTGCGTCTTGTGGTTTGGCGAAGTGAATGTGAATCCAAAATCTTTAACTCATAGGGATTTGGTGAGAAGTTTCATTTGTATATATTTGGATTTAGGTAAAAAGTTAAAAACAATCTCCCATCCTTTACTTAAATCAGATAACAATTTTAAGAAAGAAAAAAAAATTCAAAAGTTGGATTATCTTAGTACACTAGTTTACAACTTTCTGATAAAAATGTATGCAAAAGGAAGAAACTTGGTTTTTGATCCTCTTCAATTTTACTCATTGGCAAGTACATGTGATCTACTACATTTGATTAATAAGTTTAAGGTTGGAGAAGTTTCTAAAGCAATAAACCTTAAAGAAAAAACATTAAAACGAATGTTTTAGCTAGTTCCTAGTCTCTGCTGATGAAAATAATATTTCCACGGTTAGAAAAAAAAAAGAAGAAGAAAGAAATCTATTTAATGCTATTTTTTTAATTTAATACAAAATAAAGCTTTTTGTTTGAGTTGGAGGAAGTAAAACTTACTCATATCAATATGTCGAAACATAATTTTAGTGGCAATGTTTAAAGGAAACAACGTTTAGAGACAGAATTTCTTTATAATGTACTAGATGGTACCCGCACGATATGCGGGATAAATAAATTATGTATAAAATCAAACATAATAAAAATTAAAGAAATATTTTATACGTTAGTAAATTGATATACAATTTAAAAATACTAAATTAAATAATATTGCATTAAAAGTAATTTTTATGCACTACTTATTTACAAAAGAAAATAAAGGGATCCATATATTGATATACATGTTAAATATATTTTGTATTCATAATTTGACATCTTTGACCACTCTTGTTGCTTATAATATTGTACCATCATGAACAAAGTATTAGAGCTCAATGAGATGATTTAGATTTCAAAGTGACCTTCGAATGCATGAGCCAAACTGGAAAATATGACTATGCTTAGGCAACAGCACCATAGGTCACACCGTTAGCTACAGATCTCTAGAACCACGATGCCTTCTCTAATTCATTTGTCTAAGATACTCCAAAAAAATAAATTAGACCATAAGGTAAAAATAATTTTTAAAAAAAAAAAAATTGAAGCAAAGGTTTCATATTAATACCTGACAGTTAAATGAGTCTACCTATCACTATGCCCTCTAATTTCATTTTCGCGAATCATCATCATATATTTTGCCATGATGTCCCTAAAAAAATCAAACATTGAAATCATTAATTCAGATTGGCAAAGAAACTCACCGTGGATGTGCATTCGAAAATTCTTGCTGCGGAAAAATAATTGACCACAGCTTGCAAAAGTTAGAAGCGAAAAACTTTTGACACCAAAAAATAATAATTATTAAAAAAGGTAAATTCTAAAAGAAAAAAAAAAGAGAGAAGAAGAAGAAGAAGAAGAAGAAGAAGAAGAAGAAGAAGAAGAAGAAGAAGAAGAAGAAGAAGAAGAAGAAGAAAACCGGTGTAAACTGAGATTGCAAGCCAGTTGAGTTTTATAAGCATACTTTATATATACATAATAATTCTAGTCACATGATTAATGCGATTGGAGTGATTTTAGGCATAAGTTTATATTTGATTGTGTTAAAATAAAGTGAATGGTTTAATATTGGAGTGATTTTATATTTAATTTTTTTGAATTTCAAAAAAACATTAATATTGTTTAATGATCAAACCAATATGTAATGACATTATTCAAGCCAATCAAAAAATCTTTTCAAATCAATCAATTTTAATATTGAATTAAAGAATCATTGATGATTTTGTATTTATTATTTTCGAATTTCAAAAAAGAATTAATATTGTTTAATGATCAAACCAATATGTAATGGTATTATTAAAGCCAATCGGAGAATCTTTTCAAATCAATCACCTTTGATGTTGAATTAAAGAATCACTGATGATTTTGTATTTATTATTTTTGAATTTCAAATAATCATTAATATTGTTTAATGATCAAATCAAGACGTAATATCATTATTCAAGTCAATCAGATAATCTTTTTCAAATCAATCTTATTTAATATTGAGATTTTAGAAAATTTTCGGTTTTTTTTCATGTTAAGGAATGCAAAATAGAATGCTTACCACACAATTAATTGATATACTTTAATTAAAAATTGATAACAATTTATTAACTGAAAATTCAAAAGGACTGTTAGTGTAATTATTATAATTATTTTTTGTGTCAACCTATAGAAAAATGACCCATAGGATTTTGTCCTATGTGTCAACAGGAGGAGAAGTTTGATTTCCTCTCTCTGGTTTCTCTCTTAGGATTATACTATATATATAGATATAATACTATAGATATCCTGGCACCGGTAAATTGATTGGTAAATATATTACCGAAAAGGAAGTTTTTCTTCTTTGTTAATGAGAAAAATTAAACATTCATATACTAATTATTTACCAAAAAATAAGGTTATCAATATTATAATTAACAAAAATTGTCCTTAAGAAGTTTTTCCCGTACAATTTCAAATTAATCCCCCCAGTGGAACAGGAAACCAATTCTTATTCTTTGTAGGAAACAAAACCTCAATTCGAAAAACAAAATGGTAGGAAAGTCTCTAAGACCCATTTGTAATACGTTTAAGATGTAACCAAAGGTGTCTACATATATAAACGGGGCCTTATTAGTTGGTTTTGTATTGGAATTTAATCAATTGAGATTTTGTCTATAATAAATTAAATAAAAATAGTATCTGAGAAGTTGTCTCCAGTTTTTCAAGTATTCGTTCGTGACAGACGATAGTTTGAATTGTTGGACTTGAGCTAATGTGAATGAGAAATTTTGGTTTCTCATTAATTAGAAAATAGAATTAGAGACTACATGAAAGGTATGAAGCCTTTGAGTTTGAATTCATGGATACATCAGACTAGACCTGATCAACCGTAGTTATGAACATATCTTAATTCATTTTCTAAGTAGATGAACTGTGCAAATTCATCAGTATTAATGAAATGTAAGGTGTTGAATATTCAAATTCATTTTAAGATTATGTTCATGAATGAAACCTTTTAGGTTTTCGCGAAACATTGTATCTAACTAAGTTAATTGAAATAACTTAGGAGAATGAATTGAACAATTCTACTATTTGAAGAAACTCTCCACCTTTATATAATGGCTCATTTTCAACAAACAATTCATCCCAATCCAAAACTCTCTTAGCTTTCTCTTAGCCTTTCTAAGCCTATTTCCTTTGATGTCCTTTGAGTTCTAAGTTCTAGTTCGTTATTGAAGATTCTTAGTTCAAAGGGACCTTTACAAATACGTAGTATCCTGGAAGATAAAAGCTCAATAAATCTCTTGTACATCCGGGAGAGAACAATGGCGAAAGAACGGCGAAAGAATGGGAGGACGAATGTACGGGTACGACTTTCGTAGTGTTAGTAATCGTTTTGGGGCTTCTTGGGTTGGGTTGCGCCATAATTTATGTTTTACCATGTGTTGAAGATTGGGTTGGGAATTATTTTAAGCATTGCCTGGTTGATGTTTTCGATCAAATTTCCAGAAGCAAACTCCAAGGAACTGAACAAAATATTGGGTGTTATTACTAGAGCAACTGATGGTTGTGTTAAGGTTGCATCAAAATCAACGTCAACGTTGTGGGTTTTGATTGGGATTCTGGACTTTGCCATTGCTTTTTATGAGCCCCTCCGGTGTTGGGAGTGTTTGGCGGTCGTCAATGTCGTGATCTTTCTGCTACTGATGATCTTCCACAGGGTTGATTCCTGTCGAGCCTACTCCAAACACGCCGTCGCGGTTCTCATCTTTCACTCCCTTGCGACTATCGGAATACTCAACCACGTTAACTTGGCTCCACTTTTTAGCATAGTAATTGACCACCGCAAAGTCGTGTTAGCTGCACTTTTGGGATTCCGGATAATATCCAACTACTTACTAATAACAATATCCACCACCGCTGAACACTTCCAATCTTG